TCTAGATTTCTAAACGCGTTCTTCGTTTGTCTCATAGCCATCACTCTTTCTCCCCTGTACTCATTCTTCTCAATTACACACACACATGCTACTTCTGTCCTTTTAGCCTCAGAGTTTTATGTTCTAATTTCCCCCCTGACTTTTGTTACTTGTTTACTAGTCAGCTATAAGGTGTTGACATCCCCAAAGCCTACGATACCCTGCTCATCACCAGCCCTAATGTAGGGCAACACCTTTGCAGTGTGGCCTGGGAAAGTCTGTCAGTTTGTTCAGCTGTTCTGGCTCTGCCCCATCCGCCGCCCACCCTATACGCCATGCCTGCACCCACGCTAGATTCCAGGAGGGCAGTTGGCTGTTAGTTCTGACCTACGCTAGAGGATTGCTTGAGTAAGCATTTAGAGTAATGGATATAACCATTTTTAAGAGCTTCAGGACTATAGTAGGAAGTTCTTGCTAGATTGCTTCATAAAAATAGTCAGCTGTGTGAGTGTGACCTGTTAAGGATGAATCCCCTTCCTAATAGAACGGAGGTGGGAATGAAAGTGCTGTTTCCCTGGAGCAGCTCGGGCACACATTTAAGGTGTCATCTTAAGGGCGCGTCAGAGCACTTGGGGCTGGAAGGCCATCCCATCGCCGCGGGCCCCTTTCGCCAACATTTCTGCTTCCAGCGCTCGGGCGTGTTGCACTGAGACGGGAGAACCTCGTCCTCGGTGGCCGGACGCCCTCCTGTTGCTTCGCTCTGTGAGCTTACAGGAAACCATGGCCAGCTCACACCAGTTTGCGTGATGGAAAGCAGCCCTGGGCCGCTGGCAAGCTCGGCAGGTCGCTGCAGGCCGCCGGCCGTGTCCTCCAGAGCTGAGTTGGCCCCGCCACGCGCCACCGCCAGCCCCACACCTGGAAATGGATGACATCTCACCTGCGCTTTGCCACAGGGACCTGTTGAGTTTCTTACAATGTTTTCTGACATTATTTTTTACCACTTTGCAGTTTCTGTTTGTCTTTGTGTATCACCGGTAGTTTGACAATGACTGTTGTCACACGTACTGGATGTGGTTGATTCTTAGTATAAATGGGCGTCTCAAGGCACAGAGTAAATACAGCAGCCACCGAGCGTATAGTAAAGCCAAAACCCAGCGTGCGCATAACCAGCTTACTTAAGGAGAGTGGTTTATTGTCTAATTATTGACCTTAGTAAGGTTCAGAGTCCTGAGGTACAGGCGCTTCTTGCTTTCCTCTAAAGTCACGCCTGGTGTATCTCCAGCGTAACAGCTGGCCCGCTCGCAGCCACACTTGGCCCTGCTGTAGCAGAAGAAATCTTCAGTTCTAGATTCCTAGTCCTGCCAGTGAGTTCCTGTACCCAGCCTTCTTGATTGGTTCTGTGCCTGCTGAAAAATGAGATTCTTAGATCGCTTTATAGATAGCTTCCACTTAAGAAAATGGGGCAGCATTTGCAGTTTACTTCAAAACTAAAATGTTCTTTGTCCCTAAGGGAATGTATTGTTTACATTCCAAATTTCACTTCTTAGTGATTGTCCAGGTGTGCCTAAACCAAGCCCAGCTTCCTTGGGCTTCCGACTGGGTAGATAGCTGGCGGGAATATCCAGTACCCCAGTGCTGCTTTATCTGTGCCCAGTTCAGTGAGCAAAACTGGCAGTGGTGACCAGGAAGCTCTTTGCCCTCTGCTTTCCTTTTGGGGGGGAGGGGGGTCACCGGACTATGCCTGGTGCCTCAGAAATCTCCTGAGTACCTCCTCGTGAGCTCTAGGTTACTGTAGGGGCCTGTGGGAGCTTGGCATTGGAAGGTCTAATTACCTGGAAGCCTTTTGAGACAAATCAGCCAGAATTCGCAGTTCTGTCACAGACACCCCTGGGTGAATTTAATTCTCATGGTTAACCCTGTAAGGTTGTGTGGAAAGTCCGGCTTCTCTGGCTCTTGGTGGCTGCATTCTTGGAGAGGGAGCCTGTGGTCACCGCCGGGCACCTGCCGTGCTCAGTGTTGCTGCCCACACCCTGCACTGCGCTCCCTGGCTCTCTCTCCCTTCTCTGGATTGTGTCGCCTTCCTGCCTCCTCCTGGCCTAGGGTGAGGGTCTTTAAGGCCAGGACCGCGTCTCAATTTTTGCAGCCCTTGGTAGGTGAAAGTTATTTGGTACCCAGTATTTTCTTAAAAGGAATTCCTTTCCTTCCTCTAGACTCTATGCTTACGCAGAATATCATTGAGTGTGGTATGACTTTATTTTCAGATTTTTTGGTCTGGTGTTCCTACAAGTCTCTGTTCACCACACACACCCTCCCCATCATCACCACTGCACACACACCTTTTATGTCCTTACCTGTGTACCTCTTAGAACTCACGTCTAGGGCTGTATCATCTTCATGTTCCTGCCCATCGTCTTCTGTAGAATAGGGTCTCCAGAGCCCACAGTCTATATCCGCGTGGCCCTCTCCATAGTGCCCCAGCATGTGACAGTGTGTAGCAGGACACAGCACACATCAGAGGTCCTTATCTCCACAGAGCAGTCGTGTGGCTCTACCGTGCCAGTGTGTAATCAGCCCTTGTATTGTCTGGTATGAAGCTTCGAGCTGTGTCATGGTGCCTACTTTGCACAGAGTGACAGATACGCTTATTCTGTGACATGACCTCTCTGAGTCCTTCGGTAGCTGGGCGGTCAGCGTTCCATCCTTTATGTCACACTGGCCTGCGTGCTGACGTGTGTGTTTAAGCATTTCTGATTAAACAGCGTGCCTCAGGCTTTCTGCCTGTCTCTATGAGCAGTGCTCAGTCACTGCTTTACACCATGGTGTGGTGGTGAAGTGGGAGAGTGCCAGCATGATGGGATGGAAACAGACGCGCTGAGATGGGTGTGCCTGTGCCCTGACATGTGGGCCTGTGCATTTTGAGTCAAAACTTTGCAGTAGAACAGCAGCATCTTTGCAAATCCTTTGAGCTCAGGGCATTCTTCATAAAAGGTGAGCTTCCTGCCTGGTGAAGTATTGGAGCCTGTGGGGCGTCACAGCACGCCTCACCGCTGCAGGCGATGTGTGTTTCAGCGTTGGTTTTCTGCAGTGCTCCTGGGAATTGTGCTCAGTCCTCCGTGCCGACATGCACTTTCTGTTGCTACAGCCTCTCCATTGTAATCTCTTCTCCTGAGTTACCTGCTAACCGAACGAACATTCAAGATAGCCGAAGGGGAAGGAGCATGAAATCAAGAAAGCTCTAAATAATCTAAAGAGAGAGCCAGCCATTATTGAGCCCCCAAATGATGTTTGACACAAATGAGGTTGGTGACTTGAGAAGAGGCTGTCTGGGAAGTTTCAAGTCTGTAGTAGTGAGGGCCTTCTGTGTCAGGAAATGGAAGCCGCACAGCATTTCAGGTAAAGAAAGGGTCAGTACAGGCCTTGGCTCCACAGGTGTGGAGAACTGAAGGTGGAGGCCAGTGTGTGATACACACTGAGAACTGGGGAAGCAGCTGTCCCCCAGGGCGGGCAGGAGGGCACAGGAGCACAGGCATCAGGCCTCACACGCCGGGTGTCCAGCCCCAGGGGTGAGCGGGACCCTGAAAGCTGTGCTCCTAGCTGGGGTGGGATCTCGGCAGGATGGTCGCCCTGGGTCCTGGTGCTGCGGCTCGAGAGGGGTGCTGGGTGCTGGCTTCACACATACTGGGAAACAGCTGCCTCATGCTTTGAAAGTCTTTCACTCGTTTCATATTAATGGAAAAGTCCAGAATCACTTCATATTTGAGCAAGTTCACTTTTGTAGGATGTGGCCACTATAGAGGGCTGCGTGGCTGGTTGTTGGCTAATTTATGCGTAGTGGTCATGTGAGGAATTTCTTAAACACTTAAAGACAGAAAATGACAAGCTGGCACCTGCCTCTTTATGAGTGACCACCCCCAAAGGGCCAATGTAGATCCAGGGAAGGCGCTGCTGGTATTGGGGGGGGGGGGATGGTAGGGGGCTGTCTGATGCGAGGCTGAGAAGCACGTGGCTTTTTTAGAAAGCAGCCGCTCCCTAGGAAACCTGGGCAGGCTTCGCGTCACCTCTTGGGTCCCGCACCTGAGACCCAGTTAGGTCCGGTTGCTTAAGAGCAGCTCCTACTGCAAGTGGAAAAATCGGTGTCCATCCCACAGGCTCTCACCCCGGGCAGTTCTGCACAGAACCTCCTGAAACATCTGGAGCCGTGTAAAACTGCGTCGTGATTTCCTGCCAGCCAGTAAATGTATCCGCACAGATTCACAGGGACCAAGGAAAGGAATGTGTGGTGCCTGCCTGTCTTCTCCATGTTCTCCTGGTCGGGTTCTTGACATCTCTGAGACGCGTTGAACATTGTCTTTGTTTTCACTCATCCTGCTTCTTCGTGGGTTGCTCAGAGCCCCTTTAGCAGTCCTTTCTCCAGGGGCCTGGTGCTGTGCCTCGGGAGGGGTGCTGGGTGCTGGCTTCACACCATTGGCCCTACTGTGCGTGGGGGGGGCGCAGTGAGGCGCAGGTCAGGAAGCTGACCCCATCCTGGCCCTTCTCTCCAGGCCTGGCTCAAGAGCTCCCTGAGGGACGGGGTGCTACAGCGCTCTTGCCTTCCCTTTGGGGTGACTGCAGGGTGAGCCTTGGGCTGATGGTGATGACCAAGGTCAGTCCTGCGGGACTCAGACACTTGGTGTGTAAATAAAGGTTTCTCGTGTTGATAACGTAAACAGTATGTCCTAGTAAATAACTTGTGCGTGGAGAGACTCTGGGTTAGTGAAAAACAGGGGGTAGGCTCTGCTCCCTGGGCCTGTCTGCTCGGCTGGTGACAAGGCGGCCAGCTGCAGCCTTGGGCAGACAGGCCGGCGGCCGCTTGCGAGCCAGCACTGAGGTCAAAGTTCGCACTTTCAGCTTTTCCTGTCCCACTGTTCTCTTTTGAAGCAGCTGCTTGTGATCACGTGGCATCTGTTCTGAGGCTGTGCGGAAACAGGGCCGGGTGCGCACAGACCATCTCAAGTCTTCTGCTCTTGTGTGTTTGTCTGTAGGCAGAGGGAGAAGACAGCTTGAAGAAGATGCAGCTGATGGAGCTTGCGATCCTGAATGGCACCTACAGAGACGCCAACATTAAATCACGTAAGAATGAGCGGGCCAGGCCTGCAGCTGCCTCACTTGTTTATCCATGGCCTTTGTCCCAGGCAGCACAGCTCACGAGCAGTGAGGGTGAGGCGCTGACGTGATAGCGCTCGGCTCTGGCCGGACAGTGCCGTTTTCACTGCCGCCGCCCTTTGCGCAGTCTCTCGGTTTTGTGCTAGTATTCACGTTTGCAGTTTGTAAAGTTTTGTCCTTTCAATGAAATGTCCATCCCTAAATTCAAAAGTTTTGGGGAATTTTCTATTCTGTTAACTACAGATTTAAGGCATCTAGCTGTATTTTGTTAGAGTTATGCTACGGGCGAGAAACTTTCAAAAAAACTTGAGGCTAATTTGGAGTCCATGTGAGACCCTGCTGCTGGGCTTTGAAGTGTCACCTTACATGTGCCCGCCAGGGTTTTTCTCTATCGATTTCACCTGTGAGTTCACAGAGAGCAGTAGGTGACGGTATTTTTTTAATCCAGTTGTCCTCTATTCATATATCTCTGCATGTTTTTTTGTTAAAATGAAATGTGACATTTCTACTTTGAGACAACCTGATGTTGACACCTGTACACGTGTCATTTTTAAATGACTGTTTTTTAAAGAGAATGCCACTTCAAAATCCTAGCCAACTTTCCAAAATGCAGAGGGCCCAGTGTCTTTAAAGGAGTGTTACTTTACAAATAGCATCACTTAATGGACGCTATTTGTCGTGGAGTTCGCAATGGAAAATTCTGTGTGTTTTTTCCCCTATAAAAATGGTAATTCCTATAGCTGCAGGAAATGCATATGACTAGTAGTTATTTAATTATCTTCTAATATAATAAAAATATTGTTTATATAATTTGAAGGTTAGCCTACTCTTTAGAAATATACCAAAGCTGAATTTCTGTGGACTCCACTTACAAAATTATTATTTTTTAACATCTTTTAATAAGGCAAGTGTTTTCTCGGGCTTCTGCATGTACCTCTAGTCTCATGAGCTCTTACCCACTAGAGGGTCAGATACTTGAACGACAGATAGCCTGCTGTCATAGTCTCGTTGTTACTGCTGCTTTACAGTGGCTTTTTAATTTGCACACATTCATCCTTAACCGCCCCTGGGAGGGAAGCTGTTTGCGTTTGGTTGGTGTGCTTTGGTGTGTTCGTGTGGTCAGCGCATGTACTAATGATTTCCTTTTATTTTTCTTCTTTCCTGCTTTTCCTTTTTCCTACTTCCCTCTCATCCCCTGTTCACACTGCCCTCTCTACACTTCCTTCTGGATTTCCTTGCTTACTGTAGCAGCCCTTGCCTTTTCTCTTGCAGCAACAGCCCAGGCCGCTCCACGGATCATTACTGGGCCGGCACCTGTCCTCCCACCGGCCGCCCTGCGCACGCCTACGCCAGCTGGCCCCACCATAATGCCTTTGATCAGACAGATACAGACCGCCGTCATGCCCAACGGAACTCCTCACCCCACTGCTGCGATCGTCCCTCCAGGGCCTGAAGCTGGTTTAATCTACACACCCTACGAGTACCCCTACACATTGGCACCAGCTACATCAATCCTTGAGTACCCTATTGAACCTAGTGGTGTATTAGGTAAGTCTCCCTGAATGCTTAGCAGCATTTTTCTTTATGTAACTCACGGATTTTGCCCCGGATTTTGAAGCGAAAGATCGTGTTAGTTCTAGAGAGGCAAGGAAAGTTTCCACTAGGAAAGACTGAAGACTCAATTTTATTTCAGCTGCTCGTCAGATTTCCCCTTTTAAATAATTGCATCTTAAATTTCTTCAGCTCTACTTTGTTAACTCAGATTCACGTTGGCTAGTAAATTTGCCACGCACATTTTACGCAGAAAATACGTCTCATGACACCACCGAGATCCCCCCCCCCAGCCTCCACCCTCCCATCAGCTTCCCTTGTGTTTCAGAGATTTAATGAGCTGTTGGCTAAATTTTAGATTTCTGTGTGAAGGAACTCCTATTGTGTGGATGTTTTCTATTATTTGCAGTCACTTAAAATGTGAAAGGGCCCAGGTAGATAGTTGCACTTTCAAGTTGCTTCAGTTTTTAGACTCCCACCTAGCCTTAGCCCTTAGAGATGCCCTTTACTTTCGGTAGTATAGGATGTCATTGGTAAGTAGATCCCAGGTCATGAATTAGAGTCACACTGGAGGCCTAAATGAAGATCATACTATAAATGCTCGGTTTTACATGAACAAAAAGTGGTGTGCTCGAAAAAGACATTACTGATGCCTTTTTTTTGTAGAGTGGATTGAAATGCCAGTCATGCCTGATATTTCAGCCCATTGACTTGCTGGATGAAGGACTAGCGTGCAGCAGCTGTCATAGCACGACCAGTCAGTGCCGAGCAGACCGCTTCCTGGCTGCCCCTTTGTTTGACCACAGAATCTGAATACTCTTTTCCTTGAATTGTATATGGCCTTGGTGCTGCATGCATGCTGTTGACTTGTAGGACTATGAGCTTTTAAAGTATTTTCCCCCCAGCATTAATACTGATTCATAAAAATCGGAAAGCCTTTAGTGAACCTGGACACTAAGATTTAAACTGGAAAAGTCACTGTTCAGTTGAAGGAACCACGCGCGTTGTATGTTATCTGTGTGTGCACGCACGCAGGCGCTTTTGTTTCACAGCAGGTACTCCCTGTACGGGTTTTCTGTGTAAGGCCTTGTACGAAAGGGTTACAGGACAGGGTCATTCCATAGAGCTGCTCTGAGAGGCTTGTTTCTGTTGCACATCCTTGAAGCATTTTTACAATAACATGTAACCTGTAACCTGTTCACGTTTCCTTTGTGTTAACGCTCTGTCCTGCGACCACGCCTGCTCCTCTCCCCAGAGCTCCTCTCTGCTGCAGCACAGCGTCTGTTCGAGGAGTTCGGCTGTTGCTTCCTGCAGGGCTGGCGCTTAGCCACCAGCCGCTGCCCCAGCGCGCTCAGTGCAAGAGCTGGCTGCTTTTGCCTCCTGGAGTCGTACTTGTCTAAGATGAGCCGATCTAAAATGAAAGAGGGGTGATGGACCAAGACTTTACTGCTTAGACACAACAGTCAGATTGGTTTCTCATCGTGGCTTTTGTTGTGTTGGTCAGCCGTTGCTTACAAAAATTGTTAGATAAAATCAAAAGCAAAATCTAATTGGCGTTTTAGAAGATGAATAAGGACTACTAAGTGGAAAAAAACACTTCACTGTGGCCAATTTTATTTCTTGCTTTGCCACCTAAGCAGTAAAACATCATATTTAGCACTTGGAGAGCTCAGAAAATTATTTCCAATTGCTAAGTTATAATAAATTTACACACAGATAACATGCATGCTCTATATCAAGTCTCACATCCCGTTTTAAATAAGCAGTGCCCTTCAAAACAGCTGCAGACAGTGTGTTGGTGGTAGTGAGGAGATTGGTGTTAGCATCAAATCTTCATTGATGACTAATGTTTAATTCCCTTCCTTTTATCTTTAGGTATGGCTTTCCCAACGAAAGGCTAAGAATTCAAGAACGGTCTTAACCGAACCCTCATCAGATCTGAATTTAACAATGCTTAGTCTCAGCAGCCTGGGGGGCGGGGGGGGGCTTAGCCTAGCAGTCAGTGACGTACTTGCACTTTTGCACACTGATAGAAAGGAAAAAATATGTCATTAATTTGGTGTAGCCTGTAACCTTACCAAGTCATGGTATTTACCCGGGAGTGTACAGTAGTGTACTGACTGCTAAGTGTACTGTACTGTTCGCTTTACTAATCACCTAATTCATTGCAGTTCATACTTATTGACTCAAAGTTTAAAACCACAATCTGTAGGCTTTAAGAATTGCTTTTAAACCTTTTTTAAGCGATAAACTCTGGAAGTGGTCTTAAGGTTAGAATATAATTGTCAGTTTTAAATGTGGCATTATTGAAGCGGTCTGCTGCCAGAAAGGCACTCAGTGAATATGTGAGTAGTAAAGCTTGACTGCGGGCTGGGGGGCTGTGAGACCCTGTCCCTCGGGACTGGAATGAGCCCAGGTAGGGTGAGGCCCAGACGCCGGAAGTGAATGCAGTATTGCTAGACGCCTAGAGACGCACCGAGTGATGGCTCACTTTAAACTACTGTGCCTTAACATGTTTCTGAAACTTTTGTAGTCAATGAACGTTTGAAATCCATTTTGATAAACCTGCTGTTAATGTTTGTTTTTCCCTTGTGAATGTTTTCTAACGTTGTCTTGGTAATTGCAATTTAACTAGGTGCGGTGGCCACTAAAGTTCGAAGGCACGATATGCGCGTCCATCCTTACCAAAGGATTGTGACCGCAGACCGAGGTTAGTTTAGTTCTGCAGTTCTTGTTTATGAGAAATGCGTTGGGTGGCCATCAGATTTGCAACACCACACCTGATGGAAGTGCAGATGTTTGCCTGCACGCCAGCTCATTCCCTTTTCTAAACTAATTTGTAAAACTGGACGGAGCCAAGCGTGGGGCGGCGTGGGCGGGGCTCGCCGCCCTGGCGCCCGTCCTGTTTCTGCGTGGTGGGCTCCAGCGGTCCGCACTGACGGGCGCCCACCGAAACAGAAATTAGTCTGTTTGGGGAGCTACTAAATTTTTACGTTGCCTTAATTATTTCTCAGTAATATTTTTGCTAAAATTTGCCTTTTTATTCTGCTGAAATTTTGGGTTGGTATTGCAAAATGAACTGAGTGGATGGTGCTTTCATGCGAAGTCAAGGAATATATGCCTCCTGTGTCCTTGTGGAGAAAACTGAAGATTTAATTTCCATTTTCCTATTTTGATGAGATATTTGAGCCACTATACAAATGCAAGGGCATACCTGTCAAGTTACCTGGCTGACATCAGCAAAATAAGGACTGTGAAGTCAACGTTGATGCAGTTGGGTATTTTTATAAATCAGAAAATCAGTTCTCTTTGACCTGACATTGTCTTGCCAAAATGGATCCTTTGATTTCTGTCATTTGCTGCTAAAATACATTATCTGAAGGTAAACTTTCTTGAAGTTCTGTGGTGACGTAAATCCAGCTCTCTGGATTTCCTTCTAACGAACCTGTGACTGGAAAATAAGTCTTCACTTTTCTCCTTTTCAACAGTTGTGATTTGTGTCCTATATATGCTCTTGGGCCCTTTTATAAATTATTTATGTTTATTGAATGGGAGTTTCGGTTTATTGACACTGAGTTGTTTCCTGTGGTTTCCATCATAAGGTAAGGACTGCAGCAAGGCGGAAAGGATTTGTTTATAAGCTTCTGTCATGGCACGTTTGCTCTCTGTGCATGAAGTTGATCAGAGTCCCTAGAGATTAGTGGGGGAACGTTGTGGGCCTGTACCCCAGTCCTGCGCTTCCTGTGGACTCCGGAAGGACTCGCCTGCTGCTCATGACCTGTCCACCTGAGAGCAGGCACCTTCCGAGACGTCTGCTGTTGGCCTAGCGACATCCACGATGAAAGGGCCCTGACGACTGTTCATGTAGTGCATACGTTGCTCAAAGTGGTTACTCTGTAGGCTAAATAAATAGACCCCACGCCCAGCGGTCATCTGCGGCACAGCACTCGTTGTGCGTGCGTTGCCTGCGAGCGGAAACCACCTTTCGCATCTGAGCGAGTCTCCTCGTGAGGAAGACATATTCCCAGAAAGCCACTAGAGGCTCAAAGAAGCCAGATAATTCCGTGAATAATGCTGAGCCTCTCCCCACTAGCTAATGCCTAATGCTTGTAAAGAGAACTTTTAAAATAGGTTTTCTTCTGCTAGCCTTTCCCTTTCTGCTAGGCCCCTTCGAGGCAATTTCTCCTGGTGTTGTTTTAACACAAATAATTTTTGGCCTACTCAATACTCCAGTGCCTTGAGATAGTTAAGATAGGAAGATTTGATTGTATTTGGAAATGACAACACATTCCGTGCATGACTCTTCTGTAGTTATATGTGTTTTGATTGGTCCTGTCACTGTTTTTCCTCAAAGCACAGTGTCAATAAACCAAAATTCTCCCTTTTTTAATAACACAATACTTGTATACTGCTGTCACTGTCACTGTGTGCGCCCACTGGGTCTGAGGGAGATGCCTGAAGTCCTTCACTTAAATTATTTTATGATACTACTGTTTTCTCTATTTTTGAGGTTTTTTATTATTTTAAAATGTCTTTTGAAGCAAAGATTAATATAAACATTCACTTAATGCAAGGAAATTCAACCCTTGGACACATAACCATGTAATTCAATATAAGCATTAGAGTACTGCATGGTTGACAGATAGCTCTTTACTAAAAACAAACCCACCTCTACACGTAATTCCAAACTGAATTTGAAACCGTTAAAAGACCAACTGACTTTTAAGTTAATGAACCCTAAGTGAATTTTGCACAGTTGAACGCCTGTGTGCACTGTGGAGGCTAGGACTTGGCAGAGGATGTATCGGGGTCCCCGGGTGTATGTAAATGGTAGCTTGCTTTGTTTCCGAATTCCTCACTCAAAGAACTTCAGAGTTTTTCTGAATAATGATTTTGCAAAAGGCATCATTTACATAGTTTGTATAAAGATCTTAATACAGTTTTAATCAAAATCTTAAGTAATATCAAAAATGCTTTAAGATTCTGTTACTTCTGGAGCACCTATAAAATGATAAGCCTACATTGTGTTAAATACTTATTTTCTTTGATTTTGGAATAGCAATTTTTGTTGCAAATAAAAGGCTATGTAATTTCAAGGGAAGATTTGGTCCCATTGAACATAGCGTATTTGCAGAGTATTTATGCAGCATCCTAAACGATAGACTAGAGAAGGCATTTTTGCTACATGACGATGAACAGTCCACCCTCTGCTGATTCAGCTGCCTCCGAGCATCACCCCTCCCGGGTGTGGTTTCTGAAGTGGCACAGAACCCGCCTTGCACTGACGACCTTTTTGTTCACACCTCCTCTGCCGTAGTCACAGTGGCAACAGTGCAGAAAAGTCTAGCAAACCTCAGAGTATAGTAGAAATACTTAAGCTGTTGAATACGTCTTAAAAATCATACTACTGTTAAGTGGACCAAGTTTGGTGAGCAGAAGGTGACAGGTTGATGAAGGGTCGGACAACTTGGGAACGGTAACTTTTCCACTTGAGAACTACTTTGTGTTTTACTGTAATTTTTAAATTTTTTTTGTTTTGTTATTTTTCAAAAGAAAATAGTATTTACAGGTGGCTTCTTTTAAAATATAAAGATATAAGGCAGGAATGTATATGAAATGTCAGATTTTATTGTATTTGCAGAGTATTAGCTTTGAAATTGAATAAAGAAAGCTGTGTGTAGTTTTAAAATGCCTTATTGGTATCAATTAGAAATTTCTTCTATTTTTTGATGTACTTAGAGCTTTTTGAGTATAGAGTTTTAAATGGCAGGATTTTACAGTGTTTACATGCAAGTGCATTTTGTAAGTGTTCTATATGTGTACAATAGTATTTTCAACTGGAAAGCGGGCTAGTGCGGAAGGCCCGCCCGCGGCCAGGCCCGCGATGTTGCCCCGTGCTGGTCTGCAGTCTAGTGCCGCTTGTACCATGAGGCCCAGAAACTCCATGTTGTCTGTAAATAGAATCATTGAAAAGCAATAAACATTTATTGAACAAAAGAAACCTTGTTTGGCCCAGAGTTTATGTTGAACCAAATTGTTCATAGAAAACCAAATTTCTTTAGCTCCATTTCTGTTAATCATCAGTTATTAATAATCACATCCATCATTAATAGTTGCTTTAATGCTTGCATCTGAGAGAATACTAATGCTCAATAGCAGTCAGATACTGGTAACTGCACTGACTGTTCAGAGTTCCGTGTACGGGGCCTATTCATCGTGGTGTTTTCCAATCTCCTTCATTGACTGCTACTAACGATTAGTTGTTAGTTGTATTTTATTTCTATTTTCCCCGTTAACCAGTTTTTTTGTTTTTGTTTTTTTTTTTTTGGTTTTTTTTTTTTTTTTTTGTGGGAGTGGGCTCTCCTTCATTTGTTCAAATCATGATATAAAATTGTCATGATTTTTATTGTATTCTGTAGATGGTGTCGATCAGTTTGTCAGAATTAAACATGCTTTTTTATTAGTTGTGATTAGTTTTCATGTTGTCATTAAGCCGTCACTAGCTGAGACTAATCTCTTCTCTATCTTTTTTTTTTTTTTTTTTTTTTGTTTTTTTTTTTTTTTTTTTTTTTGTTTTGTTCCTAACCACCCAGCCGCCACCGGCAACTAACCTATGACCTTCTGACCTCTGAACTCTTCACCCAATGATGACCTGACCATGCCTGCCTGCTGATCAGTTAACTGGTAATCGCCTTTGCTTGCCTGTCGTCAGTGCAGCGAGCTGAGGCACTTGTCCGTTCGTCTTACCATCTAACCAAACAAAAGACAAAGAAATCGTTGTCCTCCAACTCAGCTTTCGTTGTTGTTTTTTCTGTTTGGGTGAAAGTGGTTCTAGAACCTGCACTGAATAGTAGCAAAGCAATAAGGCCCAATTCATCCCACAGCACTGATCATCTTTACTGTCCCACTCTAAGCGAACGGTAAGAAGGCCTCACTTCGGAAGGGGAGAGAGATAGCCCTTAACTACTCGGTGACAGAGGCAGTTACTGTGAGAGACTTCTAGGAACCCCTTCTCATAGCGAGTCGCAGCTCTCTGAATGTACTGTGTGGTGATGCATCATGCATGAACCTTCGGGCAGGGACGTCATTGGTGAAGTGGTCTCAAAAAGTATTCACAATTTGACATGCTGTTAGTCACCACCTGCCCTCAAAGGGCAGGAGGCGCAGCCTTTTTAAGTCGCTGCCAAAATCTGAAGTATTAGAAGTGTGCCATGAGAGAGAAGCTGGTGAGGAATTTTGAAAAGGAATGCAAAGGGCAAAACTGCAACACTATTTTTAAAAGGATGAATATCTGAATTAAAATTACCAAACCTTTATTTTACACCTCCTTCGAGAATCAGCGAGAACAAGGTACATGCATTATGTGTCACATTACTGGGCAAACTGTTCACGTATTTTTTTTAGACCTCCCTGTATAGAAAAAAATCATTAAGGATGTAAAAGCCATGCTTGCCTATTTGCTGTACACATGTAATGAACTTGTAGATAAAGTGTAGTGCATTGAAACACACGAACAAAGTAGATACTTTTACTATACAAGGGTGCTGGTGCAGAACAAATATATATATTTTTGGAAATGTAGCATTTTATACTTTCAAGTGTTATAAAAAAAAAGAAAAAGAACAAAGAAACCCTTTATTTCATTAAATGATTTTTTCTGGTGGTTGTCAAGAAACAAAAGACCAAAAGAGCCTTTTTTGTCTTTCTTTTTTATTTTTTAAGTATTGGAATAAGTCTAAAGAAAAGAAAGTGCCTTATTTTCCTTCATGGTCATTTAGTCCCGTGTCTCGTAAGATCAGCCCCTCCCTCAGAGTCCAAGTCAGTGCACGTCCCCGCCGCCCAGTATGTGAAGGAAGACGGGGATCGCGTGGGGCCGCGTGGCAGCCGCGCTGCCCTGACGCAAATTTGCCAAATCTGATACTGTGAAAAATTGGTACTTTTTCTAATGCCTGACAGGTTTTTAAAGTCATTCTTTTAAAGTCATTATTGAGTGCTCTGGTAACTGTTATGCTTGATGTTGGCCCTGAGGATTCTGTGTCATCCGAACATTGGTTCACAGAAGACGTTAGTTGGAATTTATCCAGAGAAGGGGCGGGTTTGGGTGTGTGTGTTGGATGTTTTCTGATAACTTGGAGATGATACCCGAAGATCTCAAAGTCATCTTTGCTCTGATAAAGTCCTACCAGTAGTTTTCGTTCTGGAAGACAGTGTTGTTCAAACGACCCACACTTCATCGGACTGCTTTTTATCACGCCGGATGACTTGGGTAGTTCATCTCCCCACTGGCTTTAGTAACCTAAGCCACCCCGCACACCTTGCTCTTTTTAACGTTAAAAGAATGTGAAAAGCTAGCATCCCTGTGCACAGACGTGCTCAACTGCACGTGCTCGCAAGCTTCCAGCATCTCCAGAGGCTCGGCGAGCTCTGTAGTTGAATCCGTCAGAGCACAGTGTGCTTCTGAACACGGAGGAGACGCTCCTCGGCGGCTCAGTACCAGATGTGGCAAACCCCAGGGCAGCGGCCCCGGCTCGTCAGCTCGTCCCCCCGCACCCTCCAGCTTCCCGGTCACAGGTCAGCAGTGAGCTCGGTAGCACCCCGAGGTGGTCTCTGCCATCCTGTCTCACTCGGAAACCGTTTTCAGTTTATTTACTATGCAATAGACACTCGTCGTGTTCTACTCAGCTAGCTCCGGTGTAATGTGCCACTGCTTCGTCTTTCTGTGACACATGCAGGTGTTTGGTTTATCGACAGTATATGCTGTGCCATTTTGGTTTTCATTTTGTTCGGTTGGTTGAATAAATTTGCGACACTCAAAACACTTGAGGTGATAGTAGTTTAAGAACAATACCAGTATTTGATCCAGTTTCATCTCAGCTGTGTTATACCTGGACATTTTAGATGTTTATCAAAGGTCTTTTTTGGGGGAAGAAAGTAAATGTATGAAATACATGTGTGACATAGAGGAGTAATGTTGGCTCTGAACATACTTTTGAAAACTTAGTTGACAAAATTTTGGATCAACTGAAAAAAAGCATGACTTTTGAAATCTCTGAATGCCTTGGTTCTCAGTATTATTCTTTATTGAATTTATTGCTTATTAAAATATGTAGCTTTTAAGACTTTTTTTTCTGACAGTATTATGAAACTTTTAGTGTGGGTAGATGGGAGTGTCGCTCGTATGTTCCCGTACAGCTGACATGTATTTTGTCTATTCTTTGTTCTCTTAGTAGTCTCATGCTGTGTATGTACCATAACCAACCTATTGCCTATGAGAAACGTGTAAGATAATGTATTTACAGCCATTGTTACAAGTTTATAATGTATTTTTCTATCTTGTTTTATATGTATGTTATATAACATTCAAAAAGAATTTTTTTCTTGATTGAGAAAAGGATACAAAATGCAAAATTCACAATTTTGATAACTGAATATTGCCAATTGTTTTGCAGTACTTTATTATATTGGGAGTCTTGTCTTTCTTGGGCTTTTAGTTAGCTAATGAATGAATACATTAGACACTTTGGGTTTTAGTTGGGATTTTACATAGCTTGCATTTTAATTCTTTGGTTCTTTGCTGTTTCTATTAACCCATAGCATTATTTTAATAAATGTTATATTACCAACCTACTAACTCTGGACTTTGTTTATTAACCTTTATGTGTTTAATTACAATAAACAAATAAAGACAAAAGAACGTTCAGGTCTTGAGTTACTGGACTAACCCTGAGGAACGTGGCCACAGGTAACAGGCGTGCCTTGTCTGTGTGTTGTCTGTGGGCTGACAGCCTGCACGCTCCTGCCCGGGGCCCGGGTGGGGCGGGCCGGGGCGGGCTGGCGGGCGGGCAGAAGGAACTCGGCCGGCCTCTCCTGGGCTTGGGCTTCCCACCCCTCCAGCTCTGCCTTACTAACTCCACGCCTTGTTTTCCTCCTTGGAAATAATCGCTGTCTGCTCACAGCCTAGTGACTGGGCTCTCGCCACCATGTGCCTGAAGAACCACTTAGGTTCTTTGCGGAGCTGCTTCCTCGGGGGACCTGATGGCTTTGTGGCGAGGGCTCTTCACGTGGGTGCTGTGGTCCCACTGGGGCGCTGGGCCTGTTCAGCCAGAGGCTCCCGGCAGGCGGAGCCAACAGCAGGCACGCAGCAGACCATCCGGCAGGCGCCAGAGCCCTGGCCCCGTGTCTCCCCCACAGGGCGGCCCAGCTGGCCCCAGCTTCTCCCTGCCCGCTGCCCAGAGCATAGCTGGGCTCAGTGTCCAGCGGGGGCCTGCAGGGCCTCCCGCTGCGCTGCCCTGGGCCTCCACGTGGCAGGCGACATACGGTCGTGGATTGTTCAGTTTAACTCGGTGCATTTTCATTTCACAGATTCTGTGAGATAGTTGTCCTGGATCATACTCTCAGGATCAATCTTTCTTTTTGTAAAGTATGTTTTATCTGTTATAAAGTTACAACGCTGGGAACTGAGGTAGGTCACCTGTTAGAGAAGAAATGGCTGCACCCCGCTGTGGGGCAGGCTGTCCGGGCTCTGTTGTGCCCCACGGTGCACACGCGCCCGTCAGGTGCTCGGAGTGGCGTGTGTCGCCCTCCAGGGTGGCTGTCGGGCCACACGGCTGATTGTCCCCGGTAGACAGCTAGTGTCCTGTGACGTCTGCGTCCCGAGGCCCAGCTCACACCTTCTGTCATCTGAAGGTGTTGTCAAGCTGCTCATGCGCACGTCGGTGTGGTGCCTGGTCACTCAATTCGATGAAGTGCTGTGTCACTGGCCACACGCTCTCTGACCCCGCGAAGGCAGTCTCGGCTGCCGTTGGGGTACGTGATGATTATGTCATCATCCCTTTTATGATGGAAAAGGCGTAAGACACCATTTCTCAAAGGTGAATGCGAACCCCACGTTCACGCGGGCAGTGTCACAGCATTAAACCTGAAACTACGACGTTCTTTGGGTGACAAATGCTGCAGTCGGTATCCTGTGCTATTACTTGGCGAACCAGGTACAATTCCCTTGACACATAGGTGGCATCTGCCTGCGGGGGTGGAGCAGAGCTCCAGAGAGCCGAGCGGGGGCCCACGGGCCCTGTCTGCAGCGGGCAGGCGGCCGGGACCCCTGTGCACAGCAGCAGGGCGGTGGTTGGGGTTTTCTGGAGGACACACAACAGTGGGTTTAAATAGAATCGCTCACTACCAAATACATTTTGCCAGTCAGCAACGTCTTAATACTTCGTGTGTCCCAGGCTAAGCTCTCCGGTTGGGGCGGAGGGGGCTGCTGGTTTGGGGTGTCCGTCCCCCATAGCTCTTCGCGGTTGCAGTACTCCCAGCAAGTGACCTGCGCCATGAAGTGCATTGCTACATTATGAGCCGTTCGATAGAAAGTGACTTTCTCAGGCAGATGTTTTTTTTTAACACCGTCGGATTCTTTAATATCTGCATCTAAATGGAGACCTTTTATAGACAACGTTTAGAAGTCACCTACACATAATCGGTGGCGTCTCCACATAAAATCTCACTGGAACGGGCTTCGTTATTTTAGAGACGTGATGCGATCC